GCACAAACAGAATCAATTCGCAACTCCCACAGAAAAATTAACCCGAATACTCAACTTCGTAAATAATATCTTACATCAGTCAAAAACTCAAAATTAATATTCTCAAAATTAGTACCATTGTACCCCATCATTGCACAAACAGAATCAAAATTAATCAACCAAACAAGGATGCATGCCCATTCTATGTTGCCTGAGAAACCACAAAACATCACACAATCTTCTCAATTACCTGAAATGGCGCCTTAGACCCACAATGAGAGCGAGCAAGAAGGTTGTTGTACGTGGAGGGGGCGGCGGCAATGCGCGTGTATATTCACATACCCTAGATTACAACGGTCATATAATTACTAAATTGTAAAAAAAAATGCACCAAAAACTCAAAGGAATTCATATAAGTAAAACCTACCTTAGCTTCAAGCCGTTTCAATGGAGATAGTTATATGGCTGGAGTTGCTTCAATGGAGGGGGGGCAATGCGACGAACTAGCTGCTTCAATGGAGGTGAGAATGTCGCAGCACGAATTGAACTGCTTCAATGAAGAACGAATTGAACTGCTTCAATGGAGAAGGAATAGGAGAAGAGAAGAGAAGAGGATGAACAGAAAGGCGCCTTAGCAAATAATATGAATTGAAGAACGAATTGAACTGCATGTGTACAGGACCCTAAAAAACCCGGGTTTTTTTTTAAAATGGCACCGGTTAACCGGTGCCAACTCTAACCTTTTTCCTTTTTTTTTTTTAAAAAAAAAACAGTTGGCACCGGTTTGAACCGGTGCTAATCAGCGTATTTGGCACCGATTCACTTTAAACTAGTGCCAACTCTAACCTTCTTAATTTTTTTTTTTAAAAAAAACAGTTGGCACCGGTTTGAACCGGTGCTAAATAGTGTAGTTGGCACCGGTTTAATTCAGAACCGGTGCCAACTGTGAATTTTTAAGTCCCGCTTATTAATTTTGGCACCGGTTTTCAAGAACCGGTGCTATAGGGGGGGTGCCTATTAAGTTTTTTCTACTAGTGATGCGTGACAGTGGCAACTATCGGTACTTTTGACCTATTTTCGACCTAGAAGCCTCCAAACCATTACAAATTGCGATGATTTGATTACCAATGTGGCTATGAACTCGAGCCCATACGGTATCCAAAGAACCTGCATATTACAAAGAAAAACCTTTATGATTTGTAACTCAAATACCTAAAATAAAGTACATACATGAACTACAATAAGCAAACACCAAACCTGTCGAGGAATCAAACCACATCTTCACGGCCGAATGTTGGCTCTCAACTCTGCAAGTGCTGGTGTTGCCATAATGTAGAACTTGGTTTGTCCAAAATGTCACAAACTTTGTTTTATGACAAAGCCATGTGTTCTCTACATATTGTATCACTGCTGGATAACTTGCCACTTATCTTTCATTATATCTACAACGGCCTCATAATCTTCCTCGGTTGTAGCGTCCATGATACGTTTCCATTTTCCGTTTTTGAAAGACGCACCGATCTTCTTGTTTTTGAACATAGCAGTGACCCGAGCCTCCACATCTTTGTTAATGTGCCATCGACAAAGTAAGTGCGAGGTTCCTGGAAACACTTCCCTCAATGCAGCACATAGCCCAAGCTCACGGTCTGTCAAGAAAACCGACGGCTCCTTATCATACCCAATCACGTCTCTCAACCTTTGCAAAACCCATCGATAGCTTGCCGTGCTCTCGTTGCGCATGAACACGTAACCGACGAGAAAATTCTGATTTGTCGGTGTCACACTAACTATCTCAAAGAACGGCATCCCGTATCGGTTAGTCTTGTAAGTGGAATCCAAACCGATCACATATGGGTACGTCCGTAGGATGTCTACCATGACTGGATGCGCCATAAAGGCGTGCTGTAAAACGCCTTCATCATCGGACATAACCCAGTAAACATACTGACTCTGTCTCGCCAAATGTAGAAATTGCTGAACAACTCCTCTCCCATCAGACATCTCCTCTCTGAAGTCATTCCAGCAGTTGTAGATGTGTCTGATGTTTGGATGATCATCAGGAAATTGCTCCGCAATAGTCGCCATGATGTTACGCGGTGCAACCTTAGACTTCGTCATGTCACGCACAACCTGCTTTGCACTCGGGCTCAACCCACTAATTTTACGATGACCCTCTGGATACGCAATCATTGGATGGTTGTGGGTCCCAGTTACATCATCTTTCACCCGGATAACCCAAGTATTGGTGATGAACTCATAACATATCTTGATGTAGAAAGGACAACCAATGCCCTTGATTTTGGTGTCCTTCCGAATTGCGTTCTCAAGATCTCTCGGCTTACTCCTGCGTCCCCGATCACATCTTTAATATCGATATGGTCGACCATCCTTCTGTCTGTTGAAAGACGATTTCACCAAATAAATCCCAGATTTATTACAACAACATCCGCCCATCTAACTGCATCGTCAAACGTTAGAAAAACCGTGTCTGTCACAAAATGTGCACTGTAATTCACAACGTCACCGCCGTCTTCAACCTCCGAATCCTATAAAATTACAACACAAACAAATAAAACACGCAAGGATTAGTATTTTAAATTTAACAATAATAATAACAATAATAATAAAAATAATCATAATAAAAATAAAAATAACAATAATAACAATAATAATAATAGTAATAATAATAGTAGTAATAATAATAATAATAATAATAATAATAATAATAATAATAATAATAATAATAATAATAATAATAATAATAAGGGGCCGTTTGGTTGGGGGTATTCAACAAAGGGAATGGAAATCGACGGGAATCATTCCCTTTGTTGTTGTTTGTTAGGCCACTTTTCCAATTCCCTTTACCCCCTTCATTCCCCCAAATCCCTCCAAGTTCATTCCCCACCCCCCAAGGTATTTCCATTCCATTCCTTGGCCACCACCACACCACCATACCACCACCCTCCTACCTACCCACATCACCGAAACCACCATCACCGTCGTCACCGTCGTCACCGTCTTCTCCTTCGTCACCGTCGTCGTCGCCCTCCCCTCCCCCAAACCACCATCACCGAAACCTCATTCCCCTCCCCTCAAACCACCAACGACACATCACCGGAAATAGCTCCCCTCCCCAAACCCCCGGCTACCTTCGTCACCGTCGTCGTCGCCCTCCCCCCTCCCCCAAACCACCATCACCGAAACCTCATTCCCCTCCCCTCAAACCACCAACGAATCTGAACGTTGGAGTAATGGGATTGATACGTCGTCGGAGTTAGGGTTTTTTACGTGGTGGGTAGGAGTCGGAGAAGGGAGAGGGAGCGGCAAGGAGGCTAGGGTTGGTGTCGCCGGCGCAGGGGAAGGGGCTAGGGTGCTGGCAGGGGGTCGCCGGAGGCCCGGGAGTGGGGAAAATTTTAATGAAAGAGATCAACAGTGGTGGTGTGAATCTAGTGATTCCCATTATTTTTTTACAACCAAACAACATACTACATTTGAGGGATTTTCATTCCATTCCATTTCATTCCCTTTGTTCATTCCATTCCATTTACCCCGTGCAAACCAAACGGCCCCTAATAATAATAATAATAATAATAATAATAATAATAATAATAATAATAATAATAATAATAATAATAATAATAATAATAATGATAATAATAATAATAATAATAACAATAACAATAATAATACTAATAATAATAACAACAATAACTATGTAACATTAACAAATAATAACTAATATAATAATAATAACAACAATAGTAATAATAGTAGTAATAATAATATTAATAATAATCATAATCATAACAAAAATTTACAAAATTAACAAAATTAATATTAATAACCATAATAATAATAATAAGTACATAATATTAACAAATAATACATAATAAAAACTAATTTAACTTTTATTCATAATAAAAATAGTAATAAGACAATTACGTAAAAAAAAAAAAATAATAACAATGGGACATCTGCCCAATTATTCCGGATGTTTGGGTAGAGATCCGCCCAAAATTTCCGGATCTCCCCCATAATATCCGGAAATTTCATCCGGATGTCTACATCCGCCTGAAATTTCCGGATGTTAACGGGGAGATCCGAAAATTTTGTGCGGATCCCCACGTAAACATCCGGAAAAATTGGGCGGAAGTCCTCTTTCCAAAAAAAAATAAAATTCGACATACTTACAGATTCTTCCGACGAACCCTCCGGCGTGTGAACGTTGTCGTCGTCCATCGTAAAACACCGCTCCTTACACTTTCCGTTTCTGCCTTGGGATTTTTAAATTCCTCGGGATTACCGTACAATGGTGGAACCGGGAATTTTTGGAGCTCGGGATTTTTTTAAGACAAGTGGTGGGCTCGGGAATGTTTTATGTTGTCGGTAACTAAAGTTACCCATGGTGGACCCTTATATAGATAAAATACACACAAGGGCAAAAATGTCATTTCACTTAAAAATGTGAGCGTCACCCTGTAATTTGCGAACGACGAATAGCAGTTCAGTAATTTAATAGGCCCCTTCTTTGTGCAAACAAATGCTTAAGCTAAGCCAATGTCTACACCTATACCCTTTACCGATTGACTAAATCTCCAATGTCCGCTTTTAATTATTTAAATACTGTACTAAGAGAATAAAGCTCGTGTTATCAAGAGTTCAAGACCCATAGTAACTTAAAATCTTTTTTTTTTTTGCAACAATATTTGTTCCTTAATCCTTACAATTTACAAATCATATATTATACGGTTTTTTTACCATATATCCCTAAGTTTTTTTGTTTATTCACCATAATACTAAACGCGGTTGATATAGTTGCCAACCACCTAAACAAACTCAAAGATTTCCCAGCAAAATCATACTTAGTAACAACCATAATATTCGCGAGCCCTAGAGTAGGAGACTCTGATTTCAAAAAGATTTTCTCAAAATATGACAAACTTAAACTCATAAGGGTACGTAACAGTGGCGGACCCACATGTAGTCATTGTGGGTCCAGTGACACACTATTTTTTTTTTTAAAAAAATTAGATCTATTTCACATTTTCACGGTACTCCTTGACTCCATTGAAGCGTACTCGAAGTTCTCCATTGAAGGGGCTTCTGAGCTTTCTCTCCTCCACTGAAGCAGTCTCAAAGGTTAGATGCTTCTTTTTCTTTAATCATTGACCTAATTTAATTAATTAATTGTCACTACATACTCAATTTAGGGTTCTTCGAAGTTGGATAATTGAACTATTGGTTATAGATAGTCGAAGAATTTAACATAATTTTTGGAGTCTAGTTTGATAATTGAGTCAATTTTGGTTGCTAATGTGTTGCAGGGTTTGGTTTGTGGAGCGTACTCGAAATATTCTCCATTGAAGCGGCTTCTGACTTTCTGAGCTTTCTTTCCTCCATTGAAGTAGTCTCTAAGGTTAGATGCTTCTTTTTCTTTAATCATCTAATATTAATTTTGACAATCTAGTGTTAATCGTGTATTTAATTGTCAGTATATACTCAAATCAGACTTCCAAAAATTTGGGGCTTAGAGAGAATAGAATTAATTGACAAGTCCACATTTGAAAAGGAACAAAAATGAGTGAATGGCCCAAGGGTTTCTCTTTATTCTGTGCTATTTTGCTGTTATTTGCTTCTTGGGTATGCCCAATTGCCCATATGTTTCTCCAAGAATTGTTGTTGCTGCCCACCAAATCAAATTTTTCGATGGGAGGTCATTAGTATATCCACTGGTCTATTTTATTGGGGTAGAAAGTATAAAGCTTACTTTTGTAAGGAAGCTGTATTAATGCAAGTTGCTGTTGGATGAACCCAGATTTTAAGTCAGTGACATAGATAGCTAGGAGAAGGAGAACTCTTATTTTATCAGTTTAATGTTGTCTAATTATTGGAAGTTTGCTTGTATTGCTGTTCTATATATGTATGTATGTTTTTTTTTTTTTTCCAAAAAATAAATATGTTGTACCTATCTATAACTATTTTACTGGGTCTGGGTTGCTTGGTGTTATACATGTATTGAGGTTATTATTTGCAAATACAACACAAATTGATAATGTTCTTTTTCTAGGAGCCTTGCATTGTTATTAAAACTCTATTGTTTTGTAGAAACTTTATAAGAGCTTCGTGCAAACATTTAGCGGTTGTTTCGGGTTGGGGAATTCAAGTTTGGAGCGGTTTCGTTGGTGGGGCTGGGGCTGGGGGTCTATTGCGCTCATGTGGGTCTGGAAGGAGGGTGGTTTCGGTGGTGGTGCAGGGGGAGGGGGTGGCTGTCGGGACTAGGCTGGGGAGTGGCTGTCGATGGACGATGATGGGACAACATATTAATCAAATCCTGGATCCGCCACTAGTACGTAACACCTTTGACATCGTACCAAACTACCCTTTACTAGGGTATTCCGACGTTGGCCAGGAGTTGGTGATTGATACGACTAAGTCTCCGTACTTGAAGACCCCCGGTACGTTCACAAATTGGCATAATATGGAGGCATATTTGCACGGAGTTGCAGGAACACAAGGTAGTAAGGCGGCATTTAAGTTGGTAGTTGATCGCGATATTGCACTTGTAAACAAGTCGATGGATAATTTGGAGGATGAGTATCTTATACCGGTTGCTTGGTGGATTTTGAAGAATAAAGGAATGGTTCAACAGCCTAATGGTTCTTGGTTATTGATGGATCATGAAATGGATGATGAAGATGATTATATTGACTTTGACCTTTTCATATAATAATATTTTTTATTTCCAAAAAATATCTTTAATTTCCATAGAATCCAAAAATTTGTGTAATGTGTAGTTATGGGTTAGAACTCAGAAGGAGTACATTTGGACCTTTCTAGACCTGACCTCGTCGAAGACATTGAGTCTATGTTTTTTTTTTCTTCTTTTTTTTAGTGTTTTTGGTTTCGATTTCTGTTGTTTGGATTATCCTACCTTTGGCATTACAATTTATCATGGATTCTTTAACTTTAATTGTGTCTTTATACAATTTTTTTAGTTAATGATTGAAATTGAATGCCTTTTACTAATATACTACAATATGTACACTTTTTTCTACAATATTGAAACATACTCAAATCTGTTAAAATTTATATAATCTGTATAGTTGATCAAAGAGATTTAATTTGCGAACAATGGGACATACTAGAATAATCCACGAAGTATTAAATAGGAAAATGTTCATATCATTGGTTTAACTCTTCGTATTCATATGTTCTAGTGAGATTAACATTCATTTAAACTATAGTCTTTCCTAGTTGCATTCTAATACACTCCATAATTGCTTTGAAAGTATTTGATGTACTAATAGGCCAGGTGAATTTTTTCTTTAAATGAGCTCATATGCTAATATACTTTACAATTTAGTGTATTAATATGAAAGTAATTAGTGGATGCATGGAAGATCTCCTAGAAATTAAGTTTATCATGTTGCGCATGAGTGAGAAAAATATGTGTCAAAATTAAAGAAATTGTGTTAGTTTGTGAGGACAATGGTCATATCTAGATGCAGAGTTGATGATGGTTGACTCGACCTTGACCAATTAGGGGTTGGGGGGTGCTATACGTCTTTCCATCATATCAAACCTTTTAATATAAGATTTAGTCATTTTTGAGATTTATATGTTTAATTGTTTAAGTGACGAATAGAAATATTTACCGTATATGATTTGGAATTGAAGAAGGAATTAATTAAAAGTATAAAAAACGAGATTCATTAATATAATTGGCTGATAAAACAATTGTTTCATTATCATGAAGGTTTCCAATGCTAGAATATGAGATCGTATTGTCCCGTATACATTCAACAACATCAATCCATAATAATTGGTTAAAAGGAAATAATGTTGAAATCATAGAAAAGTTGAATTACTATTGAAGTTAATATTTTGGTGGAGAACAGATATACAAGCAAGTGGTACGAGCCTTGAACTCAACCTTGTAGAACCTAGTTGACTGACCAAAAAGTTAATTTTGCGTTTAGCATCAAAATTATTACTTTTAACCTCCGTTTTATAATAATTACAACACTTTGACTGGCATATATGCCAATGAATAACTTTATTTGACCATTAATATTTGTAATTATGTATTATTAGGAAGTATAAAGGGGTAATATAATGAAAATAATACATAAAGACTAATCCAAAAATATATTACATGATGACAATATATATATGTTTTTTATATATTGGTAAAAAGCATAGTCATAGTAAGCATGGACAGTTTTCAAATGGCTACAATAAAATTGTGGTCATTGTAACTAAGTGGATCACAACCCTCCAATTGATAAAATTCATCATATCCATCCATTTAATTGACTTTAAAATATACCTTTAAAAAGCAAAAAAAAAAAAAAAAAAAAACACAAAAAAAAATTCAACTTTGTAATACTGGAAAATCTGGATGAAGGATTAAGTTTATAATTTATCTCTTTTTTTTTTTTTCTCTAAGTTTATCTTACTTGATGTTTTCAAATTTTACCTTTAATGTCAAATGATTGGTTTCTTGAAAATTAGAATTAAATCTCACAATTATTTATCTTCATCTTCTTCTTTTTTCCCCTCCGATTTTCCCGGTTTTCTTTTATGGAGGATGATTCATTCTTTGATAAATTTGATGCAAAAATTATGGACCTTGTAATATATAATACCGTAGAGTACTAGGATTAAAGCTTATAAACTAAAATCAAATGTGGGTTTTCAATGGAGATTGGAGATCAAGATGCTTTGAACTTAGAAATTTCCTACGTGCTACTGCTACGTCAATGGCATAGTTCAGTTTTTTGCTTTAGATAGAAACTGAAAAACAGTTTTTTCAATCATAATCAAGAAAACTTTTTTTTTTTTTCATTTCTAGTTAAAAATTAAAGTCAATTGAATGAATGGACAAGATTGATCATTAAAAATGAAGGGTCAAGATTAAAACTAATTACAATGGCTACAATTTTCAATTAGCCATTGAATAGTCTTCCTAGTAAGCATATAAATAGTGTAAAAGTCTAATTATTGTGATTATTACGAAACGGAGGTAGTAAGAATTATCTCTAGCTTTATTATATTTTGGAATTAGGTGACAAATTAATGTAACTAACTAACTACATTTCTTAAATATTGTATTTTAATAACCTTGTTGAGTTGTTTCTATGCAAGGAGCATACATTGATTCAGAACCATGCAATAATTACTCGTTCATTCGTCATAAGATGAAAGATCAAAATGGGTCCGATTGTTATTGTTTTGGGTAGCAGAAACTAAATGACAACCTTCCTTAAATTTTTTTAATGGCATATATATGAATTTGGCCCTAAATAAATTTGCGTGACAAAATTGGCCAATATATCCTCAAATTTGAAGCACGCACTGATCTGACTTGCTTTAAGGTCCACGACAATCCCAGCTTATTTGATCCATTTATATTTGTATGATGAGAACAACGTTAGCTAATTAATAAGTTAGTGTAGTTGCAGAATGCTTTTTTAGTCGGTTGAAGGAATCAAGTCAGCAACCTGAAATCATACAAGTAATTACTATGCCACAATTTTATGTTATACACTACTTCTATTAGAAAGTTTGTTTCAAATAATAATTATGAATGTCATATGGTGTTATTTAAGGCACATTTTTAAAAGATGTCTCGTCATTAATTTGGTTATTATTTGATTATATCTTAATTTATACTAGTTCAATGCTTTTGACATTGCTTAAAGGAGATAACTCATATAAGACTATCACATGACAATTATCAACTTGCTGAGGTTTAACGTTTGATTTTAATTCGATTGAGTCTAAATGCTTGATTGTAGGCATGTTCGATTCTGAAAGCTCTTAGCATAAGCCAATTTTGTTAACCTCTAGTTTGCACTAAAATTTATATGTTGTAAAAATGCATCCAGCATGATAAGATAAGAGTTGAGCTTGATAACAAAAGACCCTTTTAAAATTAGGTCATGATTTTTTTTGTTGATTTTGATATCTACAAGTAAAGACAAGTTAATTTAATGTCAATAAGGTCCAATTGTTTATTTTGATATGTTTAGATAATGAGCATATTGGTGGAAAGGTCAAAACATCAATCTTTATACGAAGTATATATAATTGTCTAAAGTATAGCTAGTAGACTTTCTAAGAAAGAGTCTATTCGAATACTTTGACAACTTTAGATGCTATCTGAAGCCTGGATTAATTTTTTTTTTTAATTTTTTTAATTTTTTGTTTTCTGAATATTTGCTTTGGTATTTGATGATAACGTCCCTATGTACATTTGTCTAAAGACCTTGTTTTCAAATTTATTTAGTTAAGTTTATTTAAATTAACAATTGTTAATTTACTAAGGGAACATTATTTATATCATTATTTGTCAAGCATTGGCCTTGTTATTTTAACATTAAGAAATAATTAATTAAGCTTCATGAATGGTCGGTTCAAATAAGTTTAAACTAAGTCGATAATAAGTTCATAACTACAAGCGCAGCCTAACTCAAGTAATGTTGCAAGTTGTTAATCAATTACCTAGTTATTGTTTATAGAGTGTCTAAAGAGCTATTCATCCCGTAAACTAGTAAGTGCATCTCCAAAAAGCTACCAAGTCATCATACAATTTTATGTTATGCAAACAAATATATTTATGGACATTGTTACTCTTTTTAAATCAAATAAACCATGAATCAGTAAAAGTTTTGGTCCACCATTTTAGTTTATAACCATATCTTTCAAGTATATACTGACAGCTTGTTGAATTAATACAAAAATATGGAAGATCATGCTGGCAATGCTGTATACCTTACGTAATAATAATGTATAGTTTAGCATAACTGATCTATATATAGTTTAAAGAGATCATGTCAAATTCTTGCCTTTCTATTCCAAGAAAACGCCTAATTAAGCTTGATAAGCCTTGTCGACGCGATCATGTTTTCCTTTGTCAAACGTTTCTTTCGCAAAAAATTCTCCAAAGTCCCTACACCTCCTAAATGGAGACCTAATAGCACCAGCCACCACTCGAGCTCCGATGATGGTTACATAGCCGATAGATGGGAACTTTTGATGGGTCAAAATCATTGGGAAGGCCTACTCGAGCCACTTGACAAAGAACTCCGAAGATCTATCATCTACTGTGGAGAGATGGCTCAGGCAACCTATGACACATTTATTCGAGATAAATACTCTAAATATGCGGGTGCTAGTCGTTTTAATAAGAAAAACTTCTTCGCCAAGTTAGGTCTTGAATTAGGTCATCCTTACAAGTACCGCGTTACAAAGTTCTTTTATGGAACTTCGGGTATAGAAATGCCTGATGCCTTCTTGTTTAAGCCATTCTCATCTATTGAGCCATGGAGCAAGGATACGAATTTTATGGGGTACATCACGGTGGCTGATGATGAGTCTGTGGAGTTATTGGGAAGAAGGGAGATTGTAGTGGCATGGAGAGGGAGTGTACAATTCTTTGAGTGGCTAAATGATTTTCAATTTTTGCAAGTTTCAGCATCTGGTATATTGTTAGGGCATGAAGATGATGATGGTGGGCCTGAGGTGCATCAAGGATGGCACTCCATCTATACCACCGAGAATTTATCATTGCCCTTTGAAAAGGCAAGTGCAAGAGACCAGGTTAGTTCTACTTTCTAGTGCTCGTTTGATTCGCATAAGAATTAATTGCCATAAGAATTTTCAGTTAAAATAAAATGTAATTAATTACTTTGTTATCCTAGGAAATAACTAGTTTTGATTTGTTTAGCTTACACTTTTTGCACTTTCTAGGAATTTAAAGGCTAGTTAAGTAATTTAGATAACAAAATCAAATGGGCATTGTGGCTTACTAAAGGAGAAGTGGCTATCCCATGATCTATGAGAGAACTCAGACTTCCCAAGAATTTCCAACTTCCTCAATCTTACCTATATTATACAATCAAACCATTTTTTTCATATAAATTACTTCTTTTGTATTGAAGTTAATTAGAATATTTGCATTAGAGATATTTTTTATTTGAAGGATTTATAAATCGTAAAAAAATAATTATTATGGTCATGCAACGCATATATATCCATGTAGATATCTCGTACTAAATATAAAGTTAAATTAAAGAAAGAGCTGTCACAGATAGAATAATTAAGATGTAATATAAAACTTTGTACTAAATTGCATATATACTTAAGGTTCGTTGGAGTTTGCGGGACACGACTTGGCCTTGACTTCATCAGTTTAATGCACTGCTTAGTTTAATTAAGCAATATAATAGGCCTTGACTTCATCAGTTTAATGCACGACATGCTTAATTTAATTAATCAATAGTCCCATATTAACATAATGGACATGGAGGGTGTACAACTACTTCATCATCATTATTCAACATACATATGGTCCTTCTATCCCAGGAAAGGTAACATTATTATTAAAATATTAAGACAAATCTAATAAAACTTACATGACTAAATATTTTCACATATGAATTTAATTCAAACTAGCCTAAGGGGGATGTCAAAAAAAAAAATAGCCTAAGGATAAGGTCAGAGCTGAGAATCAATAAGACCAAGTTGTTTTAACCTTTTTTTTTTTTTTTTTTTTTTTTTTTAAAATCATTTGATCATAGTATGTGGTCTAAGGTTACAATTAACTTTGATAAAATTTACAAAATAAACCTAATTAATATCTTTTTCCTAAATCATGCCAGGTTCTAACAGAACTTACAAAACTGGTGGAGCAATACAAGGACGAAGAGATCAGCATAACAGTAACCGGCCACAGTCTAGGCGCGGCTCTTGCAACATTGAACGCAACTGACATTGTCGCAAACAAAATCAACCAACGTAAAAACTCCCCGAATTCCAAACCTTGCAAAGTAACAGCCATAATATTTGCTAGCCCTCGAGTAGGAGATGCAAACTTTAAGAAAACATTGTTAAAATACGACGACCTTAGAATCTTACGTGTACGTAATGCACAAGATTTTGTCCCTAACTATCCCTTAATTGATTATGTTGATGTTGGCCAGGAGTTAACGATCGACATAACTCAATCGGCCTATTTGAAAAACCCGGGGCTTCTTTCGGTTTCACATAACCTTGAGGTTTACTTGCACGGTGTGGCGGGTACTCAAGGGAGTAGTGAAGAAGGGTTTAAGTTGGTTGTGGAGCGTGACGTCGCACTATTGAACAAGTTCTTTGATTGCTTGAAAGATGAGTACCTTGTTCCTGTTAATTGGTGGGTGTTGAAACACAAAAGTATGGTTCAACAAAATGATGGTTCTTGGATGCTAATGGATCATGAAATGGAGGATGATGATTGAGAATTATGTCATTTTCATAAAATGTTAAGACATAAATATTGTTGAAAATGAAATAGTTTTCTATGATGCTTGTATTATTATCCATTAATGTATTTATGTGTGTGTGTCGTCCATATTCTTTTTTTTTAATTCTTATATATTTCTAATTAAGTTTTTTCTAAGATGTAATGTAAGAATGTAACCATTTGTATTTTCATTTTCTAATTACACTATACAAAGTATATTTTACATATGAACTTTAAATTAGCATGCAACTGGTTTTTTATGTGAGATGTCATATTGTTTTTCTATCCTCATTTATATGTAAATCTACAACCTATTGTACCATATATTTCTCTCCAATATGTCTCTAATGTAACATTCTTGACATTCAAAATCCCCTCCAATTTGAAGCTAGGGATATTAGTCAAGCAAGCCCCATTTCATGACCTAGATAAACAAAATATATTTATCAAATGACATTTTAGTAAATAAGTTATATTGAAGTTTGTGTTTTTTAATTGAAAAAAAATATTTTTACTGTACGGCCATTGTGACAAGTTGGACAAAACTTTTAGAGTTATGATAACACGATAAAATACACGTTTTATACGCCATAATTATATGATATTTATCGTACTTTCTCCCTACATTTAATTAATTGAGCATCATTTTACTATCTATTTCGATGATTGCTTTCTTCGGGTGTGTTTTCTTTGTTTTGTATTAGTCAAGTTCAACATGAGTTTAGATGGATGTGCTAGAGAGGTTATGAGCATTATTGTTAATGAAGGTCTTGGAGATAATCAACATCAAAACCAAGAACACAAGCAGTACAATGATTCATCCGTGGCCTTAATTGACACCAAATGAGCAACTTGTAGCACCAATTAAGGCATAAAGGAGCTCAATGCAGCCTACTCCGCAACCATGTTGCGGCATGTAGCACTCCTCCGCGGCCTACCTGCGGCTAGCTCACAAAATGAAGAATAAGAAACATGATGGTAGATTTCTCCGCGGCCTTCTTGCGGCTCACAGTGCTCCACCGCAGCTTACTCGTGGCCAAGATATTTTGCATGATTTGGATAGATTTTTGCCGATTATCTTAGAGTCCTAATGATAATGGTTTTACCTAATACATAAGCATATAAATAGGAGATAGTGGCCGCTTAATAAGGAGTTAGGTATATTTAATATATATTGGTTTTGATATTTTCACATTGGCTGTACTTTTAAGTCCATGGATTTATTCTTATTTGCATTATTTATTTTAGTAATGATGTTTTCTTAGCATATTAATTCTAGGGTTAGGCTGAACCCTAGTCATGATTGATACTTGATTTATTCTTTTAAATTCTCAATTAATTGTTTATATTGTTCATGCTTAATTGATTGTGCTTATGCCAATACTAGATTAGGGATAATTGGTATTGTTATTATTCCATTGTCTTGATCGCAACGAGAGTTGGGTTTTGAAGGATTTGAATAGATCAATTAAGGGTATGAAATTCTCCACGGAAGTAGGTAGAATGGATTATTAGTTAGGGGGCTGGACTTAATGTCTTTAATTTGCATGATTCCACGGAAGTAGGTTTGATTGTTAATTAGGGAAGCCATTGACAACTCGGGAGAGATATTTGGTATTTTATAGGGCGTACCTTTCCTTGTGAACATATAATTAATTGGTTGGGTAGGACTTTGTCTTGTATTGATTATGCTAGTGGTGATACTTAATTCTAGATGTTTTTATTATTTGATTTTCTTGCTTTAGTAGTATAATAATTTCAACTTTATTTTGATTGACTTTACTAAATAATTCATAGCAACCCAATTTTGATACTACCTTCTGCAATGAATTTTTCAAACCCAACCTTTGAACCCCACTGTGATCATGCTTTTAGGCATGGTGGCGTTCAAAGGGAAGGAAGCTAGAGATAAAAAAGTCGCCAACAAGTTTAGGAACTTGTAACTGTTCACGGGTGTGAAGGTTACACCTCATCACACGATCACGGAGATCGCTAACTCCATAGTGGTCCGCAACCATGACTGGATATTCGGGGATGATGGTACAAATCCAACCTAAAAGAGATTGAATCCGCCTTAAATTGGCCTCTACTTAATTCTTATGACATTCATGTGCACTTTCCGATCAACATACATACAACAAGTTAGCCCTAAACCTGTTTAATCAACGTTGGTTGATTATTAATGCACAAATAAATCTATTATTGGTGATTACTTGAATTAAAATCATATTAGCTAAAATCAAATTATTAATTATCTTATTAGGCGTGATTTCTAGTACAAATTCCCTTTAAACTTGCAAGAAAGGACGTGATCAAGCAATAACAATCAATCATGAATAATCAAGCAATGCATAATTAACACAACAATCATCATCATAATACTAGGCGAAAAACCCTAATCCCCACCGGTTCAAACCACCCATTCCCCACCGGTTTTGAACCGTTTTTAATTTGGGGGGTGCTAAATCCTCAAAGCTTTCCCACCGGTTCAAAACCGGTGGCAAAAAGAACTTTTCCCACCGGTTTTGAAGTGAACCGGTGGCAAAAACGCTTGATTTTCCCACCGGTTTTGGGGTGAACCGGTGGCAAAACCGTGACATTTCGAAGCGGTTTACTCATTGAACCGGTGGGAAAAGTTAGCCCGCCAGTTTTAGAAATTGTTTTGGCCACCGGTTCAATGTGTAAACCGGTGGGAAAAACCTGTTTTTTTTTTTTAAAAAAAAATTTTGATAATTAAAAATAATTAAATACCTGCACATCCTGTATTAATTCTGCCATTAATATATATTATAATAACAGTAATAATAATAATAATTATTATTATTACCCGTATTATTATTATTATTATATTATTATTATTATTATTAAAAATACTAATAATATAATAATTTTACATTGAATTGGAATAATAACAACAATACATAAATATTAATTAATAACCGTAAATGTGATACAATGAAATGCCATATAGCTTTTACAACTCATTCATTAAAAGGTGTTATATTTACAAACTATACTAATAATTAATGTATAAGTTAACAAGTTCAAATTAAATTATATGTGATGAAAGACGCTAACATGTCTCGAACTTCATTAAGCTCTTTGCTTGTCAATGGACCTCCTTTCTGTACCTTGCAAAACTTGGTTAAACAAAAATGATGTTAGCTAGAATTAATTACTTAGGTTATGTATGTAAAAATACATTTACAATTTAAGTTAGGCAAAAAATTAATACATAGGCCTATATGATCACTACTTGTATGCCTATTTTCTACATTTATTGCCAAATCAACTCATTCTTCCTCTTAACATGTCATTTTTACCTAGTTAGAGACAGCTAAGGCTTGAAATCACATTAAAAGAGCATTTGAATGGTTTATGGACGCAATTTCATTCAAAATAGGCGAAATAAGGCCTATATCACTACTTGTATGCCTATTTTCTATATTTTGAATCAAATTACCTCATTCTTCCTTTAAACATGTCATTATTACCTAGTTAGAGGCAGCTAAGGCTTGAAATTACATTAAAAGAGCATTTGAAGTGTTTTAAGACGCAATTTCATTCAAAATGGCCCGAATAAGGCCTATATCACTACTTGTATGCCTATTTTCTATATTTTTAATCAAATTACCTCATTCTTCCTTTAAACATGTCATTATTACCTAGTTAGAGGCAGCTAAGGCTTGAAATTACATTAAAAGAGCATTTGAAGTGTTTTAAGACGCAATTTCATTCAAAATGGCCCGAATAAGGCCTATTTCATTCCCGGTAGGCAACATCTCACTTAACACGATCAACAAAGACGTAAAACTGTTGTCCGTCCACCCATGCTTCGACTTAATGTTAAACAGTGTTAGCACAGCTGATAGTTTGGAGTATTTTTTGCACCCAGGATACAAAGGCTTTTTAGAAGCCTCCGATAACGACTCAAACACGTCACCTTCAACACCACGCATCATTTCATTCACCCCTTCATCCTCCACCACATCCACCTGATCATCATCAAATCCATCCTCATCACCATTATCAGCAATAAATTCATCATTCTTGTATTCCTCGTCCACACGAATATCATTGCTTCTATCATCATGCACATCATTCCCAATAACATCCCCATTGTACTCTCCTTCTTCACCGTGCCAAATCCACACATGGTATTTAAGCCTAAACCCACGGCAAACTACATGATCTCTAATGATATCAACACTATTAACCACCTTCACATTATTACAATCAACACAAGGACAATAAAGGCAATCGAAACCCATTCTGCGCTGATAAGATGAAGCCCTCTCACAAAACTCTTGAACCCCATCAAAGAATTCCAAAGTATCACGTCTACCATTCATCCAGCCACGATCTTTCTCCATTAAGTAAATTGTCTCTAAACATGGCAACATATTACGAATAATGTATAATTGCTACATCTATTATATATATATAAATCAAATTCAAACACGCAACATGCATATAACATTCATATAGATACAAAAATGCATATATGCTTCCAAAGGGTCCTTATCACTCCAACCTAACCCATCCTTGAACGTTTACTCTCACTAGTGAATGTATATCAGATTTCCAATTTTAAGGAAAATCCGGCAGCATTTCCCCCCACTTCTCCAAGTACACGACGTAGGTAATTACTTACCCACATATGTACCCAGAGAACATGGTGATCGAGGAAATGCTAAGCCAAGATGTTCCTTAAAATCGAAAAAACTGACATACATTCACCACCTAAGTGAGAGTAAACGTTCAAGAACAGTCCCAACCGGGGACTATTCAAGACTTTCTCCTAATGAGAAAGCCTTGAACGGGTATCTAGGCATATGATGATGCAAGCATTTATATATTGTTGCATTAATTTGTCATTAAACAATACACAAGTTGTAATAGCATGAGAAAACTTTCATCATGAATCAAGAAAAAGAAACATAGACTAAGTTTATAATTCATACCACAATTGAGCTAAATTTGTAGTCTTCAAGCTAAACTTGTGCTTCAATTCACATATGAATCTATAAAAAAATTAAAAAGAAAAAACAAAAGTTAGTAAGTAATTAATACATACATATATTGCTAAAGAATAACGCATCATTAATCAAACTAACATTAATGATAGTAATTGCTCTAATTTAAATGAAATTGCGTCCAAAAACCCTTTAGTTGTTCTTTTAATGTGATTTAAAGCCTTAGCTGCCTCTCACTAAGTAATAATGACATGTTAAAAGAATGAATGAGTTGATTTGATAAGAAGTGTAGAAAATAGGC